GAAGTGGGGAGGGAAAAGAAAACAGGTGGTTAGACTGAAAGGCAATGAAGTATGTTTGATTCATTTGTTTATAATGTATAGCAGAAATACCCTTCTAGTTTTTCTAATGGATCTATAATTCCTCATCAGGAACCATGGGAACACATGGTCATGTCTGAACAACAATAAACCAGCAGGTTGCCATCGGTGATATGTGGGACATTCCTAGCTGACTATCATTGAGTCACACTTCTAAAACGTCAGACATTGTGATAGGAAGTTCTTTGCAGATCCTCCATGGGAAGCTTGAATGGCCTTTTGGACTACAAAGTGACGTATTACAGAGTGAAGAGGCACAGAAAGCCACTGGGTCTAAAAGTTAATTTTGCAGGCCTCCATGGCATAAGATGTGACCAGCTCCCATAAGAACCTGATGTGAAAATGAGGAGTGAAAGAATGTGGTGCCATGAAAGGACGTGAGACTACAAGTAGATTAAATAGAAATTATGTGGACTTCCCTAAAACAACCTCAGTTCCTTTTGGACACTGGTGTTCAGGAGATTTAAAGAGATGCTGGGAACACTGGTGTGGAAGGCATGGAAGAATGCTGTACAATGAGGAAATTTACTCTTTCATGGTAATTCATCACAACATTGCTTATAGGTGCCTGGGTCTATCATACCAGGGTACTTTTCATCTACTTGTGACAGGTTCAGATAACTTTAATTTGGACATGTAGAAGGGATCTGTGAGTGGCAGCTTTGTATTACCTACACCTGATACTTACTCTTTTTAGGGCAAACTGTTTGGCTAAAACAGCTGTACTGAAGATGCAGATTTCCTATTCTCAGGTAATGGACTAAACAAGAGAAAGTTAATATTGGGTACATTACAAGCTTCAGTAAAGAGATGGGGAGCTAATACCTTAGTCTATGTCCTTTAGCTCTCACTATATAGAAAAAAGATATTTGTGAAGCCGGACAAGACAGAACTCCACTACTGAGATAGTTAAGATCAGTGGTGACTCCAGTGCCTGTCTGCCATGTTACGCAATACCCGCTTTAAGGCTGTGGTATTTTGAAACATGGTCTTGTTATCTCATTTGCATTCAGGCATCTTGTCAGCAAAAGAGAGAGAGAGAGAGAGAGAGAGAGAGAGTGAAGGAGCTAGTGGAAAAACTAGAAGAGAGGAAGAAATGGTCCCTTGGCTTTAAACCACATTATACAAACAATAAGCAGGAGTCTTCTATTCTGGAAGCACTGCCATTTGTAAAAAGAAGCCCTAGTAAAAAGCGCTATTTGGCCACACACAGTTTGCCAGGCACATTGTGAGGAATTAAAACCATACCTGAACCTATTACGCACTGCTCGTAGTAGATCCTTCTGTGGTTCTTAGGGTCACCTACAACACGAGAGGAAGGAAAGCGGCAGACATGGAAGTGAGGAGATAATTCAGGTAAGGCAGCATTACAGAATATTCAAGGCTAAAATCTGATAGTTCTCTACCTTTTCTTCTAACAAAAAGCAAGCCTCATTACCTCCTGGGTTATTAACTCCAGTGAACTCCTGTCACAAGCAGCCACATCAACATAATTCCTTGTGATACTGAACAAGCTCCACCTTAACACCAGCTAGGTTGTCGGCTGGCTCCTAGGTTGTTACTACTGTTGCAATGTTGTTCCAGAACTTCACTGCTCTGATATGATAGCTGGAAACCTGCTTCTAATTTCCATCTTAAATTTATTTTTGATCAGTTTAAATCCATTTGTTCTTGTGCTAACAAGGTAATTTATCTTAAATAACTCTTGTCTTTTCCTGGTGTTTATTGGTTCTCCCCCACATCACCCCCTCCCATCTGTATTTATAGGGAACAATCATATCCCCGCTCAGCCTTAGTTTTTTTAGAGTAAGAAAGCCAACCTCTTTTAGGCTGCTCTCTTATGACAGGCTCTGAGGAAGATCAGGGGAATGAAGAACATTTCTCTGCACCTATTTCATTTTGAACTCATCTTTCTTGAGCAGGATTGACCAGAATGTTGTGTAGTTAAATTATTAAATCCATTATAATCTCAGTATTAATTCTTTGACAACACAAAGATTCCATCGTGTGTATGTAAATGAGAAGCAAAATATATGTGAATCTCCCGCCTCTAACATGTATTTACAATCAATCTTTTGTAGAAGTTTTGTGCTGTTGGACAGTAGATACAAAATTAAATACAATATTTGTGAATTGAAGGCAACAAACTGAAAATCTACTTATACAATTACATCCATTTATAAAGACATCAAGAATAGATTTGGTCCTGTTAGAAAAGAAACTTTGAACTGGGAAGAAGTTTTATCAAGAATAGTCTGAACCACATTTTTTTTAATCTTTTTAAATATCCTATTTCTTTCCCATGAAAAAGGCTGGCTTCCTTTCTTTTAGATCAAACACCAGTATGTCCTCGTCTATGACATGGAGGGCTTTTCTAAAATTATTGTTTCTTTCTTTTTGACCCTGGATGGAGGCAGATTGTCACTTTCATGTGACTACAGACATCCTTCTGAGTAGCAGCAGATATGATTGTCATTTTTACAGCCAAAAACACTTCTTCAGATAAACAAAATCTCTTCTCAGCAATTAGAGCTCTATAAAGAGATCTTGTCAGACAAATAAAGAGGCATTCCCAGGTCTAAAATACCTGCATTATGGAATTGAATCTATGTTTAATATGTTAACATATGTTAACGCAAGTGTGACAGGGGGCCGCTCTGAGGCCAACCTCTGCGTTAGCCTACTCATCTGTCTTGGGCAGTCCACCTGCCTATCTTTCCTGCCATACCTTGTTAATAAATAATTAAGTTGTTCATTAGGCAGGAGGCTGCCCTTCATGAGCCCAGCTATACTAGGCAATACATAAACGCTCTGACCTACCCTACATGTGTCCCATGCCTCGCAGGTGTTACTACTGTAGTCAACTCTATACGCCCCTGACATTTAGCCCTCTGGCTCCTGTCTTTCTGCACCAAGCAGGCACCGAGTTCTCTAGTGACTGGATTTCTGCATCCCCCTCTTGGGTGCTCTGGGCTTGCTGTGCCCCTCTCGGGTGCTCTGGGCTTGCTGCGCCCTTCTGGCTGTACCCCCCTAGCACTCTGGGCTCACTGTGCCTGGCACTAGGCTCTACCAAATCATATGTCCTCTCTCTCCAAGCACTGAGGCCTCCAAACCTCCCCTTTTAGCCTCATCCCAATCCTCCAGGGTAAATAAACATGAACACAAACACAAGCCCCTAGGCTATAACTTATCTACTAACAATAACAACAGTGCTATGCCCCTTTAAGGGAACAAACATCTACTCAGAGTAACATGCCCCTATCTAGGTACCTGGAAGACTCCCTGTAGTCATGTAGTACTTAGATAGCACAGCAGGCAGTACTGGGAGAACTAGGTAGGCAGGAGCTCCTTCCCCATCAGTTGCCAGGGAGAGTGTGTGTGTGTCTGCTAGCTACAGCCTGGGCTTATATATCCCCGAATCCTGCCTCCTGCTGGTTAGGTGATGTCAGCAGGTATGGTCAATTACTGCCTTCGGCTGTTACCCCAGCAACCTGCAGCTGGGGAGCTCTGCTCAGCCTGCCAAGCTCCCTGGCCAGGCTTCTTCAGCCTTAAGGAACAGGCACATCTTAGTGCTCTGCTACAGCAAGATTAATATTTAAAACTAAAATATCAGAAACTTGATTAAAATAAACAATTTAAACTATTAGAACTACTTAATAGATCATTCCAGCTACTCTGAGTTCTATTAGTTAGTAGATAGAACAGTTCTACTACTAACTTCTGTATTTTTGATTTCATATTAAAACTATCTTTTATAGAACTGTGATAGAAATATAGATCCATGATAGTCATAACTACATATGTGATCTCCAAAACTGCAACAGGTTTTACTTTGCCAAATAAACTTTTGTACGATTCTTGTATATTCACAGTACATACAGAGTTTAAAATTTAAAACCATATTTAGACACCCATTCTCATCAAGAGTTGGGAAGCCAAAGGACAGAGGTAAGTATTATGCTGAAGGCACCACAGTACATGAACAGAAGAGCCTGGACTTGATCTCAGAAGTTCCTGTAATAATATTTTTCTGAATATTATTTTAAAACTATCCATTTTTTTAGACTGAGGAGCACAAGTTTTTACCACAGTTTCTAAGGCAATGGGAAAGATAAGGGCATAATTAAAACAGAAAAAGTACTTTATTTACTTGCCAGATTTAATCTAAAAATTAATAGATTGTAAGGGGCTGGAAGGGAGCTTGCAAGATCATTGGGTCCAGCCCCATTGCACTAGGTAGGAAAGACAACTGGGGTCAGGTGACCCTAGTGAGGTGACCATCCAGTCTTCTTTTGAAGATTTCCAGGGTAGGTGATTGTACCACCTCTGAAGGGAGTTTATTCCACAGTCCGGACATCCTGACTGTGAAGAAGTTCTTTTTAGTGTTAAGCCCAAAACAATCTTCCAGGAGCTTGTGGCCATTACACCTGGTTTTCCCCAAGGGTGCCCTGGTGAACAGGTGTTCGCCGAGCACGTAAAGTATTCCCCTGATATAGCTTGGTGAACAACTGTTCACCAGGGCACCCTTGGAGAAAACAAGGAGTAATGGCCTCAAAATCCTGGAAGACCATTTCAGGCTAATGACCATTAATGACTGTTTCTATTCATACACTGTGGTGCCTTCAACATAATACTTCCCCTCTCTCCCTCAGCTTCCCAACTCTTGACGAGAATGGATGTCTAAATAAGGTTTTAAACTTGTTCAATGTTATATACATGCAAAATATTCACAGGAACTCTATCAATCATTACACTTGAGCAACGGGTACAACATCAACTAGTTTCAATAGGGAAAATGTTACATTAGAGTGAGGACTAAGCCTAGATTGAAACCATCAGCTCTTTTTTTTTTTTTGTGAATCTATTAATTTAGGCCACACATACAGCAAAAATTAAGATCCGAGAGCTTTGTACCATGCGTGTAAGAGATTTATTTCTATACTTGTAGGCTATAATTATCTCTGATACCAGAACAATTTTATGCTGTAGTATAACCAACCCTGCTATTATTTCCTGAATAAACTAACTGCTTCTGACATAAACACTTCAGAAGCATTAAAGGATGATGGAGGAAGTGATACAAAGTAAGCACAAAGCAAGAAAAAATTAACATAATTGTTGTGCCAAAGTATTGTGACATGACATTACCAGTAATCATCATAAAAATCTTCTTGTTGGATGGTTTGGAGCCAGTCAGAATTTGCTACAATTCATTAACATTGTAAGATTTGTTAGTACTTGTATTCTACATAGAACCAAATATGAAAATCATTTTAATGGATACATGTAGTTTAAGCCTGCACACATACCTATAGAACAGGACTTTAGATTTTAAAAGAGCTAAAAAATATAAACTATACATCTACACTGGAATAAGAAATATAATTCAATGTCATCTATATCTGTGATTCTTTATTTTTTAAGGAAAGTTTTCAGTATCTGTCCAAGTAAGCTTCATGACGTTGCAACACTAATCCAGAAAAAATGACTTGCATAAACCAGTTATTCTTCAGTGCCAAACATATCCTCTATTAGGGGTAAGTATTTGATCTTTTTCACTGGAAGGGATTGTGGCTGTCCACTCCAGTCATCTTCATACTAAAATTGATAAACAAGAAGAAAAGCTAAGAACTGCCTACTGAAAACAAAAATAATTAGAATTTTACAAAGCAGTGTTTAGTAAGTTGCTTCCCTAACACACAAACATCACTTGTGAAAAAAACAAAATGTTTAAAGCAATTGCTATTGTATATACACATTGATTAATGCTGAATGCTGCAGAATCTTTAAAGTCTATCACCTTTACTTTGCAAAAAAGTAAAAATTAAAAGAAAAAAAGAATGTACTATTTTTTCTTTAATTGATATCTTTTATAAGCTTTATTTTTTCTTTAATTGATATATTTTATAAGCTCACCCTATAAGCTTTTATAGGGTGGGTAGGGGCATCTTTATACTTTATACCTTTATGCTCTGGGGAAAGGAAGAGATGGAAGCACTTTAATTACAGCAGCTCTTAGGAGCCACTCTAATTAAAGCACCCACAGCATCTCATGTATTTAGTGTGCTATGCTGCAACATCATGGTAGGAGTGCTTTAACTAAAATTTGTTTGATAAACTTTACTTAAAGGACCCCCACCACCATTTTGAAGTGCGGGGACACTGAATACATGAGATGCTGAGGTTGCTGGAGAGTGCTGATTAATCGATTGAGTCTGCTCCGATGCATGCTAATTAGCACATGTCAGAGCAGGCATCGGACACATCCATAGGTGTTAAGACTTACTTTGAAACTAAAAAAGACTTAGAATAAGACTTAATTTGTAGGCCTTGTCATCTTTAACAGGATAGACAGAAGGAAGAAAAAATGTAAGTTGCAAAATCAGAACTCTGAAGACTCAGTCACTGAAATTTTATTTTGTCAAATATAATCATCTAACATTCTAGAAATATTCCTCAAAATGGATGTTAAGTCACTGCTGGAATAAATATTTGATTGTAAAGTTTAATGATTTAATAGAAGGTTTCAAATTCCCTGCTTCAATTGGTCTTTCCTGTTTCTTATGGATCTTTCATTAAAAATCTACAGTATCTACAATACATCTACAATATCTTCAGTACTATTTATTATAGCTCTGTGGACATTGTTCAATTTAGACACAGTTTATTAACACAGTTCATAGCCCACTAACATATTTGTTATAACTTTTTGGGATAACTCTACATAATAATGTTGGAGTATTGTTGTCTAGTTGATGGTCTAGGACAATGGTTTTCAACCTGTGGTCACTATGTCTATGTCTACCCACACGATGTCTATGTCTACCCACACTTAGAATTCAAAGGCGTCTGCACCTCCATTTGAAATTTCCAAAGGGGTTCACAAATGAGAAAAGGTTGAAAACCTCTGGTCTAGGAAGTATGTTAGAGGCAATATGGTTGGGATAGACTCCTTGATGCCTATACACCTCTTCTGTCTGGTAACAGAGAAGCAATGCATTCTTCTTCATGTCTGAGGAAAAAGCAGCAAGGACTAAAAACACTCTGTCTGCAGGGCTGTGAAATTGGAGAAGACAGATATTCCTAGGAGTAGCTAGCAGACAACAGTGGAAGATCAAAACCTTTCAAAATGGAAGAGGGTTATTCTCACCTGTGGAGTGAAGAAAGATTAGCAGGAATCAGGCAGATTATAGTGAGCTACAGAGTCAGTATCTGTGTTCAGTCCTTGGTTCTTATTGTCTAGCCAGCTTCTGAATTTTTGTTCCCAGGCTCACCTTTTGAAAGTGAGTTCCTACAGCAGCTCTCCTGTGTATTTCATTAAGTTGATCACTGCCTTTGCTCCACTACGGAGGCCAATCTTGATCTACTTGCTTTACAATCACCTTCATTTCTTCTGGGATATAGCAACCAAATGGTTAAGACATGTTGCTACATATTCAGAGATATAAGGCTGAACCTCACTCTGGACCTGCACCTAGGCTGTTCTCAGTTGACACATCTGTGAATGGCTACTTGGTCATTCAGCCTGGGGAACTGAAGGCAGCTGGACATAATGTTAGCCAGGTCACTCCATTTAGGAGGCCTGTTGAAGCCTACATGCTTTAACCACACTAGATCAGCAGACCACCTATACTTTGGCAGATTTTTTACCTTAACCATTGTTATTGCCTTGTTGCCTATAGACATTTCTGTCTGATAGTGAGGCAAGCAACAAGCATAAGTACAGCTACTGACTGCCTTGTTAGACCAACAAACCATGCACACTGCCTTGCCTTTTCAGTTGGCTCCACTTCTGCTATATCACCCACAAGAAATTAGTCAGTACTTAATGACTAAATGGAGGGGCAGATAGGCCACAAAAGCCAAGGGAGATCTGGGGAAAAAAAACAAGAAACATGATGCTAACTCTTGCAGCACGCATGCCTACACTTGTCTGCTTTTCTTACCCTCACTCTTTGTATGTGGCTCATCCTCTTTGACTGTAGGTACACTGGGACACACAGACTGTACCTATCTCTTTGGCTGCACATCACAGGTGCTTATTAACCTTTTAGGTTTCACAGAGCTACCAGAACACAGATTGTGGCAGTATCTGCAGTGGTAAATCCCTATTAACAGTGTTTGAAAAGCAACACCATAGAAACACCTGGTAAGAGGCCTCCAGGTTCTTGACCACCTGGGCAATAGTGATCATCGCGTGCTGGAATTCACCATCCAGCGTAGAGTGTCAAGGGCCTGCAGCAACGTGGTAGCCCTAGACTTCAGGAGGGCCAACTTCAGTGAGATGAGGAGATTAGTGGGAGAGGAACTGGGGTCCTTGAGGGCAGAGGAACTCAGCGTCCAAGAGGAGTGGTCGTTCCTTAAGGAAACGATACTCGGGGCCCAAGGGGTGTCCATCCCGACAAGAAGCAAGGGGGGGAGGAGTGTCCAAAAGCCCCCCTGGCTCACCAAGGGTGTCCGGGAATGCCTGCTTGCCAAAAAGGCGGCGTACGCCCGGTGGAAGGGGGGTGTAATCTCCAAAGAGGAGTATACCTCCTCTGCTCGGGCCTGCAGGCGGGCTGTTACAAAGGCCAAGGCGGATATAGAGCTCAGATTAGCGTCCAGGATTAAGGATAACAAAAAGTCCTTTTTCAAATATATTGGGAGGATGAAGAAGGCGCCGGGTAATGTGGGGCCCCTGCAGGATATGCTGGGCAATCTGGTGGTTGCGTCAGAGGATAAAGCGGACCTCTTTAACCAATTCTTCACCTCCGTTTTCTTGTGCAGGGACCGGGACTTCCCTGCTGTGATAGAAGCCGGACGCGAGGGGATCGCCTTCAGACCTCAGGTTGGGGAGGACCGGGTTAGAGAGCTTCTGGAGGGGCTGGACGCGTTCAAGTCAGCGGGTCCGGATGCTCTCCACCCCAGGGTGCTGAGGGAGCTGGCTGGGGTTATTGCAGGGCCCCTGGCACGGCTCTACGAGCGATCGTGGTGCTTGGGCCAGGTGCCAGACGATTGGAAGGTAGCTAATGTGGTCCCCATCTTCAAAAAAGGGAAAAGGGAGGACCCGGGCAATTATAGGCCCGTCAGTCTTACCTCAATCCTGGGGAAGCTCTTTGAGAAGATCATCAAGGAGCACATTTGTGATGGGCCGGCATCCGAGATGATGCTCAGGGGCAATCAGCATGGATTTATTAGGGGGAGATCATGTCAGACCAACCTGATTGCCTTTTATGATCAGGTCACAAAGGCCATGGATGCAGGTGTCGCGGTGGATGTAGTCTTTCTGGACTTCAGCAAGGCCTTTGACACCGTCTCTCACCCCATCCTAATTAATAAACTAGGCGACTGTGGCATAGATGCCTACACGGTCAGATGGATTGCAGATTGGCTGAAGGGTCGCACTCAGAGGGTGGTGGTGGATGGATCATACTCGACTTGGGGGGAGGTGGGTAGTGGAGTCCCCCAGGGCTCGGTCCTGGGGCCTGCGCTGTTCAATTTCTTCATCAGCGATCTTGATGTTGGGGTGGAAAGCAACCTGTTTAAATTCGCTGATGACACCAAAATTTGGGGGGAGGTGAGCACGCTAGCAGGGAGAGAGAGATTGCAGAAGGATCTGGATAGGTTACAGGGGTGGGCAAACAGGAACAGGATGTGTTTCAATACGGACAAGTGCAGGGTGCTGCACTTGGGTAGTAGGAACCAGCAGCACACTTATACGATGGGGAGCTCCCTACTTGAGAGCACGGAGGCGGAAAGGGATCTTGGTGTCATTATTGACTCCAAGATGAACATGGGCCGACAATGCGAGGTCATGGTTGGCAGGGCTAACCGGACCTTGTCGTGCATCCACAGGTGCATCTCGAGTAGAGCCAGGGAGGTGATCCTCCCCCTCTATGCGACGCTGGTCAGGCCGCAGCTGGAGTATTGTGTCCAGTTCTGTGCGCCCCATTTCAGGAGGGATGTGGACAACATGGAGAGGGTCCAGAGGAGGGCCACCCGCATGATCCGGGGACAACAGGGCAGACCCTACAGTGAGAGACTGCGGGACTTGAACCTATTCAGCCTCCACAAGAGAAGGCTGAGGGGGGACCTGGTGACCGTCTATAAACTCACTAGGGGGAACCAGAAGGGTTTGGGGGAGACGCTGTTTCCCCTAGCCCCTGCTGGCATAACAAGGAGTAATGGGCACAAGTTGATGGAGAGGAGGTACAGATTGGACATCCGAAAAAACTACTTCACAGTTAGGGCGGCTAGGAGCTGGAACCAACTTCCAAGGGAGGTGGTGCTGGCCCCTACCCTGGGGATCTTTAAGAAGAGGCTGGATACCTACCTGGCTGGACTCATTTGAGTCCCGTTTTTTGTTTAGGGTTCTTTTGTTGTTCTCCCGCCCTGGCGGGGGGTCGGGCTAGAAGATCTATTAGGTCCCTTCCGACCCTAAAACTATGAAACTATGAAACACAGAACACACATCTGGTACAATGTGGAGGCTGTATATAATATGTGCAGAACCCTGTTCATACATATACTGGCAAGAATTTTCTTCCAAATTAAGAAGTTCATGAGAAATCCACCAAGGAAAACATAGCAATTGAGCAGCAGGAGTTTATGTGGTTTATACTGCATAAGACAGCAAGCAGTAAAGCCAAGTAAGATGGAAGTGAGGTTGACCACACAGCACTTGCAGACCACCGATGAAAATTATCAGCTGCTGAACTGAAAAAGCAGCTAACAATATGTTTCCTAGATTAGCAAAAACAGAAGAGACTGAATTGAAACAGCAGGCAAGGATTAGGTCAAAAGAGTAATGCTCTGTGCGGGCTAAGAGGTCTTGGATTTATTTGGTATGACATTTTTTAAATGAATTTAATTGGAATATGCACAATTCTATTTTAAAATATTCCACTATAGCACCAGCATGAGACAGAAAGGTCAGATTCATCTCTGTGGTTTGTTGAAATGGCATTTTTATTTATTCTAAAAACTGGTCTGACAGAGACAGATAAGTTGATTTCTCAATGCTACTCCCACTATGTGTCTTCCAAGGAACTGGGGCATTATGGGCTAATTTCCAGAGCGCAACAGAAAACCGTTGTTATGTTCTGCAGTTTCATGGGGTCTGGAGAATGTATAATTCTTTTGACCTCTGAATATAAGTTCTGTGCAGCAAAAAGTGTGAGGGTCAGTAGTCACACCCATGTGCAGTAAGGAGCACTCCCATTTCCCTTCCCTTATCTTTCTACAGAAAACTTTAAATGATGTAACATCCACCACTGTGCACGAAAGGGTTGTAGGAGTTTGCCTGCCCTGCATTGGTTTTCTGCAGAAGCAAATTGTTCAAAACATATAATCAAGATCTACAAAGATCAAGCTTCAGATATTCTTTGTTGGGCAAAGCAGTGATGTCCATAGGTACTAGCTGAACTTCATCAGGGTAAGCATTCATATGGCATTTTTTCTACTGTTCATTTTTGTTTTAACTGTAATAACTTTACCTTTGGAGGACTCCTTATTGTCTGGAAAACAGTAATTGGATTCTCTCTCCAATTCAGCCCATCCACCAACTTCTTATAATCTACTTGCTCCTTGCTGTCTTCAAACCTAGAAGCAGAATATTTATACATAGGTTGATTCAACGGATGAAAGTATTTTTTTTTTAATTAAATACAGATGCTTTGGTTTATTTTGTTACTTTGTTTTATAATCCCTTCATTAAAAGAAGAAATGCTATGAACACCCACTTAGAAAAGCAATCACTAAGTGGTGGGTACTTTTGCATTCCCCAAACATTTCTTTGCATATACTTGATCAGGCATAAAAATCACAGCTCTTCTAGTTTAGTATCTATTTTACAGTACTACTCCAGATTTCATAGGTTAAGTACCTTCTTGCTGTTTAGTCAACAGGATATCCTATTCTATGGACATAAGTGTCCTACAAACTGAGACCTAAGACCTGCCATTTGCTTATGGCGTGAAAAATGCACTTAGAAGTGGAGGTTTCAGCTGATAAACCTCATGGGATCAGATATATAGGGTCCCATCCTCCTCCCATTGCTTTGAGTGATGCAGCATCAGACAAAGGTCCCAATTCAGCAAGGCACTTAAACACAAGTGCATCAGGCATCTAAGTAGCTATATTGACTTCAGTGGGACTATTCAAGTGCTTGAAAGTTCATCACATGTTTAAATTCCTTGCTCAACAAGACCATAATGCTTTCTGCCCTCCAGCTTGTAATAAATTCTTTACTCATTGCCTTCAATCGTCTGCTGCGAAGAGCACATCAGGATTCAGCATGTGTTGGGGAAGTGGGATAATGCCTTCCCCACTGAATAATTATTTCGGGAAAATAGCTTATGCTTATTCAACAAACAAGATGGTATAAAACCATAGTCTTGACACTCATGCAGCTAGTAAGGATTTTCTGGTAAAAAATAAACTATTCAGGTATCTTAGGCAAGTTACACAAATAATAATGAAAAACTGCCAAAATAAATGCAATACTGAAAGTAAAATTCACTAAATCTTATTAAACAAAAGGGGGGCTGAGCACTAGTAATACTAGTTTAACTAGGGTTGGGTGAGTGGGGCATTAGCCCTAGGTAGGTAGGTACCTATTTAGAGGGGGCACTAGACTGACAACTTGGGAAGTCCACTCTGCAGCACCAGCAGCAGCCTCCTGACACTGCTGTAGCAGCAGCCAGGTGCAGAGACACTAAGCAGCAAGAGCCAAGGGTGGGCAGATGTGTTGTGGCAGCAGAAGCAGAGCTTTGTGTCCCTAGGACAGGTAAACTGACATCCCCTACCCCTCTGCCAGGGTTTTGCCTAGGGCACAAACCTCTGATAAGTAAAGATAAGTTAAAACTAAAATATTCTGGTAGCAATAAAAAGAGAACTTAGTAATAAGCAGCAGTATCAAGTAGACGGAGTCATGCTAGAGACTGGACTCAAGTCAGACCAACAACATGGCTGCCACTCTTCATATCAGATGAAAGTTGATAAGAAACTTGAGATACTACACTGGAAATGTGTCATATTATCATTTCATTCCTTCTGAGCATTGGCCCAAACATCCAAAATATAATTTCAATAAGGTGTCTGCTTTTGAAGACTAAATGCAACATCTGAGGAATTTATTATTCTGCCTCTCCCGCCTCCTTTTTTTTTTTTAATGAAGAAGCAAAACACATACTCACCAGAGAGGATGACTAACATTACACTTGGGTTGCATATGCATTACTGAGAAGTATGTGTCATATACAATTTGAATTGCATATTCCATTTAACAGAATTTTTAATGTAACAACTTAGGGTGTGTACAAATCCTTTGGGAAAACAATTACAGTCTAACATTATATTCACATCTTACAACTTCCTAAAATAGGAAGTTTTAACATTTGTATGTCTTCAGTATATAGCTTTGTCTTTGCTGGCCTGTGGAAAGTGAAAACATAATCCAAAGCATAAACACTGAAGTTGTACAAGTTAACAGTTATATGTATAATATATTCAAACACACACACACCCCTGAAAACAAGGGAAATAATATAATTACTTAAACCTAACACTAGTCCATTTCCATTTAGCCACATAGATACAATCCAATGCCTGATGAAGTCACCGGAGGATACCCACTGAAGTCTTATAAGCCTGTATAGCTGGCTGGGCAAACAAATGAGCAACTAGGAATACACTTTCTTAAGTCATTCCATTAACTACATCTGAAATTTTCAAACCGGGATGCCAAACGTTAGACTATTCAATGCAGGTTTAGACAGCTATGTAACAATATCTTGGAAACAATGCTTTATATGAAAAGAGATGTCCAAATTTGTACTTGGAATACTGTGGAATACCTCCATCCACGGCTGCTGAAAGAATTGGCCAGTGTCGTAGTTGAGCCGCTGGCACAGCTGTTCGAGCACTCATGGTGCTCCAGCCAGGTCCCCGAGGACTGGAGAAGGGCCAACGTGGTGCCCATATTCAAGAAAGGGAGAAGGGATGAGCTGGGTAACTTTAGACCAGGCAGTCTTACCTCTATTCCTGGGAAAATGCTAGGGAAACTAATCAAAGAACACATTTGTGCAGGCCCAGCAGGGGAAACGATGCTGAGGGGAAACCAGTGTGGGTTTGTCACAGGTAAATCCTGCCTGACAAACCTTGTAGCCTACTATGACCAGGTCACACACTGCCTGGACATGGGAGCCGAGGCTGATGTCATCTTCCTGGACTTTAGGAAGGCCTTCGACACAGTTTCGTACCCTATCCTCATTGGGAAGCTAGCAGACTGCGGAGTGAATGCCTACACGGTCAGGTGGGTGGCCAACTGGCTTAGAGACCACACCCAGAGAGTGGTGGTGGATGGTTCCTTCTCGGCCTGGAGGGAGGTAGACAGTGGGGATCCCGCAGGGTTCGGTCCTTGGACCGATATTATTTAATATCTTCATCAGCGATTTGGACGAGGGCGTGGAGAGCACCCTCTCCAAGTTCGCTGATGATACCAAGTTATGGGGAAAAGTTAGTACACCGGAGGGCAGGGAGCAGATTCAGGCCAACCTGGACAGGTTGGATCAATGGGCAGAGAGAAATAGGATGCAATTTAATAAAGATAAATGTAAGGTACTCCACCTGGGAAGGAGGAACCCCCAGCACACCTATAGGTTGGGGAGCGTCCTTCTCAGCAGCTCGGAGGCAGACAGGGATCTGGGAGTCATAACTGACTCCAAGATGAACATGAGCCGGCAGTGTAACAAGGCCATCAACAAGGCCAATCGCACCTTGTCATGCACTACCAGGTGCATGACTAATAGATCAAAGGAGGTGATGCTCCCCCTCTGTGCGGCACTGGTCAGGCCACAGTTGGAGTACTGTGTCCAGTTTTGGATGCCACACTTCAAGAGGGACGCGGGGAATCTGGAGAGGGTCCAGAGGAGGGCCACTCACATGATTAGTGGCCTTCATGATAGATCCTACGGGGGGAGGTTGAGAGAGCTGAATTTCTTCAGCCTTCACAAGAGACGGCTGAGGGGAGATCTTGTGGCCGCCTATAAATTTATTAGGGGAGGTCAACAGGGAATAGGGGAAGCGCTGTTTACTAAGGTGCCCCAGGGAGTGACTAGGAATAACAGATGTAAACTAGTTGAGAGTGGATTTAGGTTAGATATTAGGAAGAAATTTTTCACAGTAAGGGTGGCCAGGATCTGGAATGGGCTTCCAAGAGACATGGTGCTATCTCCTAGCTTGGAGGTCTTCAAGAGGAGGCTAGATAGTCACCTGGCTGGGGTCATCTGACCTCGGTCCTCTTTCCTGCCAGGGGCAGGGGGTCAGACACAATGATCCATTGTGGTCCCTTCCGACTCTACAATCTATGAATCTATGAATCTATGTGCTTACATGTGTAAATGTGGCCCACAGAACCCAAGCAAAACGAGGACATTTCTGAGAGACAAAGGCTTAAGTCAGAACTCCCAAGCCTCCAGCTCCAACACAACCAACACACATCAGTAAGGCCGAGGAAACACCAAGATATATGCATAAAGATTAATTAGCATAACAACAACAAAATTTTTCAGAAACCTATGAAATGTGTGCAGTATAAATAAACTAACTCATGATTTTCTATTTGTGAACTTTATCTTCATTCCCTCTAGCCACCTCCTTCTTCCTTTTTTCTCATCTGCCAGTTTTCCATTTAGCTTGTAGGGAATGGACCTTTTCAATCACCTCTTAGGACATTTTTAGGTACTCAGTGAATAAATAATTTAAGCAGAAGAATTCAATCATTTAAAAATGCTATATTTTGTGGTTAAAGCACTTTAATTGCCTTTGTTTATTGAACAAACTATAGTTGGTTTTGCAATGTTTGCATAAATTTAAAAAAATGTTATAACAAATGCTTTGCTTTGCTGGCAGAAACAAAATGCTTATCTTCTACATCTCTTAATACATAATGGCTAAAAAAAATTACCTTTGCCCTATGATTAAAAACAAACAAACACTTGTACCAGCCAGACGCTCTGAGGATTTCCTCAAGCACTTTCATTTCTCTGCAACTTCATAGCATTAACCAAGATTTGCTCTCTCTTTGCTTCAACTGCATGCTTCTTAGGACAGAAATCATGGTTAAAAACATGGGCCCACTGAAGCCCATAGCGAAATTATCTACTTTCATGTAGAATGTAAATATTGTTTTAAAAATATTTGTTTAGTCTCCTCTAATTATACTACTTAAACAATTAGTGGATAACACAGTGGGTTGGGGCACAGCTGCTGCTGAGAGTCACTTTTGGCTCCCAGAGTCCTTTGTATGTGGAGAGGGGGAGAGGAGGCCAGCCCAGGCAGACAACACAGCCCAGGTGAAGCCCTGCACTGGGAGGGAGGGACCACCTGTAAATGAGCAGCTAATTGCTTAACTGATGAGTTATTAGGCTGCTGGCTATTTTCCTCTTATGCTATGGGTACTAGTCCCATTTGCCCCTCTCCACTCCCCCTCTTCTCCTCCTCACTCCTTCCT